TATGGGGATTTGAATATCTTATTCATTGGCTATTAGAAACACGAGGTTTAACAGCAACTGAGGCTGGAGAAGCTGCCAAGGATATAGCGAGGGTGGTAGAAGCAGCTAAGTACAAACGAGTAGATCAGAAAAAGAAGCCTGTGTCTGTCAGGGATCCAACCACTCCAATTCCCCAATATAAAGAGATTGTGATCGACTACATTGAGCCAATACCATTTACACCAATATTGGTGGAGAACTTTAAATACACCGAAAAGTTTACGCCCAAACGAGTCCAGGCCATGATAGACACTATACCTAAAGGGTTTCTCCGAACCACGGAGGTTGATCTTTTGGTTTATATAGTAGGCAGGCACCCGAATGCCTTTGCCTATTCTAGTAAAGAACGAGGAGTGTTTAATAGAGAATATTTTCCTGACTATGTGATATGTACAGTTAAGCACGATCCATGGCAGAAGAAACCAATCAGATTCCCGTTGGCAATGGAAGGGAAAATAGTAGATTTAATAAAGGAACATCAAGAGGGAAATGTACAGTAATTGACCACTCAATGCACTCGCACTTTCCCTCAACGTTCCCACGGCCCTCAACAACGAAGTGTACATCGGGTGGGTTCCAAACTGGCACAGTTTGTAGATTAGTAACCGAAGTAAATATATCCCAAACATGGAGACAAAATACGAAGAAATGATGGATGTAGAAGGATTTTTTGCGAGATCGTGATTTGAATACCAAAATAAGCAAGACCCAACAATGCAACGCTCAACTATTATCATCATCCTCGCCGTCATCCTCATTGCTTGAGCATTCTGAGGGCTCTAGATCATCAAGAAAGCTCTCCTCTGCTGACTCTCCTTGCTCTTCCCCACACACCAATGCCCACACCTCAGCACGCGTGGTAACATGTGGTTTCAGCGGCAATTTCTCACCATGAATGTGGCACTCTTCCTTCAACACCTCCCACCTCTCAAGCAGCATTTCATTATCCAACTTGGCAACTTCCCAAGCCTCTGCCTTCGAACTCCTTAGGTCTGCGGCTTTCTCTGCAACCTTCTTCTTCCGGCCTCTTTCCACCTTCTTAGCAGCAAGTTCATCAGACTTGGCTTGCCTCAGCGCTTGTGCCCTTTCAATCATATCAACGATTTCTGACTCGGTAAGTATGACAGCTTTGCCACTCTGAAGGTGGAGGCCCTTCTTGCACTTCTTGCCTTTATTGGCATTCTGTTGCAGGAATCGCTCCAGGTATGCAGCCAAGAGGAGAATCTGGGCATTTGCGGCGTCAAAACCATTCTCCATCCTCTTTTGTAGCTGTGCCAGAGTCTGATCTAGATCCTGGATCTCCTCTCTCAATTTTTTATTCTCCAAAAGTAGCTGACACTCATTTAGAGGAGCAAGCGCTGGGGGAGTGTTGGCTGTGTGTGTGGGAATTTTTCCATAACACATGCGTGTCTGGAAGATAGGAGGAGGGATAGTGACATTGGTTGGTAAGTTGCTAGGGCTGAGTAATATGGAGATGGCAGATTGGTGTGTGGGCTCATGGGTGTCTGCACTGGTGGGTGTGTGTGGGGTCATTGGGTTATCGGGATTTGAATCCTGACGGTGTGCCTCCTCGGTTTCATGCAAGTTTCGGAAATATGCCATACCCTTCTTGATCGGAGACGCTAATGCGAATGGGATTGCAGATACGGTATCTAGTGATGTGACAGTACTGGGTCCCATCATTTTTGATGTGATAACATTCGGGTTGAGTGGCCAGATTCCTGTCTTCTCAAAGGATTTAAGGATGTTCTCCTTAGTAAAGGCCCGAAGGTGAGCATTTCCATAGATACTAAGGAAGTTCTCTTTTGTGACTGTATGACCACAAAATTCCGCATTCAGGACTGCTTGTGACCACACATTCTTCAGAGGTGAGAAGAGCACAACATCGAGTGGCTGCAAGGCATGTGTGCAATGGGAAGGTAGGAGGTAAAGAATAATGTTCATCTCTTTACAGAACTGGATGGCAGCTGGACTCTCATGTGAAGCATGTCCATCAAGAATGAGTCGGTATTGGGATGGTGCTTCGAGTTTGTCTTTTGTCTCGGTATGGAAGATTTGTATTGCTTGCTCAAATATTTCCATGTTAACCCAACCCTTCTCTGAAAAGGCATATCTACATCAAGGTGTAACACTCTGTACTGGTTGCCATTAGGTGAGAGGTTGGACTTACTTCGCATTGAGGGGGTTTTCTTGTTTCCACCTCTCTTGGAAAGCCTTCCCAGGGAATATTACCACTGGCTGCAGGGCTGTGCCATCTGCGCAAATGAATTCTAGCACAGTAATATGTTCTTTGCTTGCACTAGAAACAGCATGGCCTTGTTTAGCAGCAGCAGACACAACAACCTTCTCCCACAAGGGCACATTCAGTGGGTACCCTGTTTCGTCACAATTATAGATATTCCATGGAATGATTCCATAACTGTGAATAGTTTGTGCAAGGAGTTCAAAGTGATGCTGAATATTCATGGGATTGAGTGCAGCAGCACGATTTTTTTCGAGGAGAAAACAAGTTTTTACACCAATTTGATCCTCAAACCTCCTAACAAACCTGTGTGCCCAGTTAACTCCAACCCTTGTAACACTCTTATCATGAATCCGAACAATAGCAAGCCCATACTCTGCTATCTTTTTGTATGTGAGTGGGAATCCACGATCTCCTATCTCAATGGTGAATTGAACAAGCTCGTGTGATTCAGCAGGAGTTAAAAGGGCCCGTTTAGAAGCAGCAACACGCTTGGAATCTTGTCCCTGAGTGATTTGCCTCCATAACGTTGTCCTATCAACTCCGGGGAACTGCAGAGCTATTTTGGCAATGGAGGGGTTGCCTGCCTTTCGGAGTGATGCCTCCTTGCAAGCCTTGTCCCAAGCCTCCAGTGCTGCTTGGTAAGATTGTTCCCTATCACGAGAAAGTTTCCGTTTCACTGCATCCTTGGAAAGAGCATGGCGACCCATTGACGCTATTTTTCAGTTGCAGAAATCTGAAAGTGAAGGCAGCCTCCGTTGAGTTGTCAGTAGTTTTGCATCCGGTCAAACCAAACTGTGTTTCATGTTGGACAGCAATGCAAGGGCTGCCTATGCTGCATCCAAACATTCTATCACTCTCTGCCTAGCTGTTTGCACATTCCAATGCCTATTTTGTGTTGTGTTGCTCCATAGTATCGAGAATATAAACCATTGGTTACATCTGAATCTGACACTGGTGCCGATAGGCATCCATCTCTGCAACTACCAGACGGAATTGGCTGAAAATTAGAATCTATAATGAATCTATAATGATCTATAATGAAGTCTATATATATATATAATATATATATAATATGTAATATCTCATAATGAAGTGAGGTTGAATGTATTGATCAATACAAATTAAATTCATAAGCAATTCAGTTTTGTGAGCCGTGGGAGCGTTTTCAATGTTAACAATTGTACTAGATAACCTGTCATGGTGTAATAATAAAAGATGGAGAGGTGACCATGACGCGCCCGTTGCAAAGAATCCGATGGAAAATGGTTGAAAACTGAGGGAGATACGAGTGGTGGCCCATCCCAGCGCGAGGTGTGTGCGTGGGAAACAGTGGCCACGGCCTCATACGGGCTATTTGACGACCAAGGCCAATAATAAGATATGTAGAGGTTGTTTGTAAGAGCTCATTGAAAAAAGCCCGTCGAAAAACGAATAGGATTTGACAGAGATATGCATGTACATGTCTTTGGTGTGTGAAAAAATGTGAAAAAACGTCCCACCGCCTCATAGACCCTCATCTGAGATGTACGACAATAATATGAAATAACAAGAACGTTGATACAAGCATGTACGAAAAGAAACGACGAAAAACGAATGATAATTGACAGAGATACGAATGTACATGGTTTTTTTGTGAAAAAATGTAAAAACACGTCCTACCGCCTCATACGCGCTCATTCGCGGCTTGCACCAATAATAGAAAATAACCAGGGAGTTGGTCCGAGTCCATTAAAAGAAACCCGACGAAAAACAAATGGGAATTGACAGAGATACTAATGTACATGCTTTATTTGTGGAAAAAACGTTCCCCCTCCTCATTTACGCTGATTCACGACTTGCACTAATGATACCAAATGAATAAAATGTTAGTACGGGCCCATTGCAACAGACCCGACGAGAAACGGTCAAGAACTGACAGAGATACCAATCCAGTGTCAGCTCCGCGGGTGATCTGTGCGTGGGAAACGTTCTCCAGCGCCTCACAGGTGTTTTAAAAATATGTAAAAATATGGAGTACTTGCGTTGATAATACTTAGAATAGCATGCAAATTTTCAGGACAATTGGTGCAGTATCAAGCGAGATATGATAAATTATTCCATTAAATTTTACTTGGCACCCTCAAGATCGCAGAATATCAGGTTGGGGTAATAATACACATTGTAGAGAAAATTAATACGCGCCCGTTAAAAAAACCCGAGGAAAAACGAATAAGAACTGACAGAGATACGAATGTAGTGTCTGCTCCGCGCGTGGTCTGTGCGTGGGAAACGTCTTCCAGCGCCTCACGGCATATCAAAGAAAATATGAAAAAATGTCAAAAACTTGCGTTAATAATATATAAATTAGTACGCAAATTTATAAAACATTTGGTTTAGTATCAAGCGAGATATAATAGATTACTATACAGTTTGTGCATGGGGAATGCGATAAATCGCCATAATCTCCTCAGGATCGCCGAACGACGAGTCGGACTAATAATACAGCATGTAGAGGACATTGAGACGCACCCATGGAAAAAAACCCGACGAGAAACGGATGAGAACTGACAGAGATATGATAGGTTTATGTGAAAGATCACGTGTATATGTTTAGTTTCAGGAAATTCACGTGAGCAATTGAGTGTAACCTCCCACAACTTTTTTCGCGCACAGACATATGCGAAAAAGTACTAATACCCCCACTCAAAACCGGTTTACACCCCCCATGGGAGCAATTCTTTTTTGTTCCCATGTGACTTTGGCATGTAAAATAGATGAAATAGATAGATAGATAGATAAATAGATAAAATAGGTAGATAAATAGGTCATAATAGTCGAAAATAATAATAATAATAATAATAATAGTAGTAAATAGTGAATAAATAAATAATTAATTAATTATAGTAATAGTAGTATTTTTGTTGTATAAGTTATTGTTTTTTTCTTTGTATTTTCGCTATTAGCATGTAAAATAGATAAATAAATAGGAAGTAAGTAAGTTAAAATCCGGAGTTTCCAACAACAGAACCAAATGAACTAAGGTTCCAGATAAGGTAAAAATTTGAAAAAATTCACGGCAATGTGGGACAACATGAAATAGAAACAACCAAAAATAAAACCAAGGTATTCTATATAGAATAAAATCTGAAAAAATTGCGGCAATGGGGGAAAACCAAGGAAAATAATACCAAGGTATTCTATGCAAATTAAAATCCAAAAAATTCACAGCAACATGGGACAGTATAGAATAAAAATAAAAGTAAGGTGCTCTCTATAAAATAAAATCAAAAAAAATCACGGCAACATGGGGAACACTGCTTTATAAATAACAGCAAAAAACCTGATAGAGAATGAACAAATTTCATGGTAAATTTGTGGAAATAGCCAGAAAAACAGCAAACAAAAATACACAAATGTGCTCAAGGGTGTAAGGTGGGTATGTGGTCCATGTAATTTGTGTGTAGCAGGCCCCACTTCCAGTGCATTGTCAACAGGGGAAAAGGCTTTTCTCATTTGTGTACATGATTAATGGGGGGGGGGGGGTTGGGGTGCAGCCCCAAGGCTCTCTGCAGGAGTGGGGTTTGGTAATACACATTGTAGAGAAAATTAATATGCGCCCATTAAAAAAAACCCAAGGAAAAACGAATAAGAACTGACAGAGATACGAATGTAGTGTCTGCTCCACGCGTGGTCTGTGTGTGGGAAACGTCTTCCAGCGCCTCACGGATGTCAAAAAGAAATATAAAAAAATATGAAATTTTTGCGTTAATAATATATAAGATAGGCCGCAAAACCATAGAACATTTGATGCAATATTCAGCAAGATATAATAGATTACCATACAGTTTGTGCATGGGAAATGAGTAAAATCACCATAACCTCCTCAGGATCGCCAAACGACGAGTCGGACTAATAATACAACATGTAGAGGACATTGAGACGCACCTATAAAAAAAACCCGAGGAGAAACGGATGAGAACTGAGAGAGATATGAGAGATTTATGTGAAAATCACGTGTAAATGTTCAGTTTAAGGAAATTCACGTGAGTAATGAGTTTAACCTCCCACAACTTTTTCCGCACACAGACATATGCGAAAAAGTACTAATACCCCCACTCAAAACCGGTTCAAACCCCCCATGGGAGCAACTCTTTTTGCTCCCATGTGACTTTGGCATGTAAAATAGGTAGATAAATAGATAAAATAGGTAGATAGGTAAATAAAAGTAGATAAATAGGTCATAATAATTGTAAATAGTAATAAAGTAATAATAATAAAATGAAAATAGTAGTAGTTGTTTGTTGTTGTTGTATTAGTTATTTTTTTTTTTTGGTTGTTTTCGCTAATTAGTTATTAATAAATAATGACAGTAGTAGTAGTAGCAGTTTTGCTGTTGTATTAGTTACTTTTTTTTTTCGTTGTTTTCGCTAATTAGCATATACAATTAGATAATAATAGTAATAGTGGTGTTGTATTAGTTATGTTTGGTTATGTTTTCGAAATTGGTGTCTTCCATAAATGGTTGTATTCTCTCTTTTTCTTTGTATTTTGCTGTAAAATAAATAGGTAAATAAAATTGAATAGTTAAAATGTGGAGCAGAATCAAATGAGGGGTTCCATATAAGGTAAAAAATTCGAGAAAATTCATGGCAACATGGCACAACATGAAGCAGAACAAAATAAAACCAAGGTGTCCTGTATAAAATAAAATCTGAAAAAATTGCGGCAATGTGGGATGACAAAGGAAAATAAATTTTATATAAAATAAAATCCAGAAAATTCACGGCATCATGGGACAACATAGAATAAAAGATAGAAAAATAAAAGGAAGGTGTGCTATATAAAATAAAATCAAAAAAATTCATGGCAACATGGGGAACACTGTTTTATCGACTTACAAAGGAATTCCATGTGATGGGAGGTGGTTGGGGTGGTGGATTTGGAGAAATGGCCAGAAAATGAAGAAAAACAACAAATAAAAAGGCCTCACTCCCAGTGGATTGCCAAAGAGGGGGGAAAGGCTTTTCTCATTCCTGTGCATGATTAATAGAGTGGGGTTTGGGGCTGCGCCCCAAGGCTCTCCGCAGGAGTGGGGTTCGGGGCAAGGCCCTGATGGCCCTCCGCAGGAGCAGGGGTTCAAGGGGCTGGCCCCTTGGTGCATAAATAATCACCATATATCTCATTATTGTTTACACCCCCCCATGGGAGCAATTCTTTTTTGTTCCCATGTGACTTTGGCATGTAAAATAGATAAAATAGATAGATAAATAGATAAAATAGGTAGATAAATAGGTCATAATAGTTGTAAATAATAATAATAATAGTAGTAAATAGTGAATAAATAAATAAATAATTATAGTAATAGTAGTAGTAGTAGTAGTATTTTTGTTGTATTAGTTATTGTTTTTTGTCGAAAATTGGCATGTACAATAAATGGTAGTATTGTTTTTTTCTTTGTATTTTCGCTATTAGCATGTAAAATAAATAGGAAGTAAGTTAAAATCCGGAGTTTCCAACAACAGAACCAAATGAACTAAGGTTCCAGATAAGGTAAAAATTCGAAAAATTCACGGCAATGTGGGACAACATGGAATAGAAACATCCAAAAATAAAACCAAGGTATTCTATATAGAATGAAATCTGAAAAAATTGTGGCAATGGGGGAAAACCAAGAAAAATAATACCAAGGTATTCTATGCAAATTAAAATCCAGAAAATTCACGGCAACATGGGACAGTATAGAATAAAAATAAAAGTAAGGTGCTCTCTATAAAATAAAATCAAAAAAATTCACGGCAACATGGGGAACACTGTTTTATAAACTTAGAAGGAATTTCATGTGATGGGGAGTGGTTGGGGTGGTGGGTTTGGAGAAATGGCCAGAAAATGACAAAAAACAATGCAAGGGCCTCACTCCCAGTGGATTGGGGAAGGTGTTTCCCATTCCTGTGCATGATTAATGGGGTGGGGTTTGGGGCGCAGCCCCAGGCTCTCCGCAGGAGTGGGGCTTGGGGCAACGCCCCAATAGCTCTCCGCAGGAGCAGGGGTTCAAGGGGCTGGCCCCTTGGTGCATAAATAATCACTATATATCTCATTATTTCTTTAGCACATGGGGAACAATAATAACAAGGATGTTGTTGCATGGGGCGGAGCCCCAATGGGGTCTGGGGCAACGCCCCAGGGGGGTTCGGGGCGCAGCCCTGATGCCCTCTGCAGGAGCTAGAGTCCGAAGAACGCGTGGGTGTGCGAGGAACGAGCACCCCACGGGTTTAAGGTCTCTAGTATATAATAAAGTCAGGTTGAATATATTGTTCTATTCAGTTTTTGAATGGGTCAATTCAGTTTAATTAACGTAAGCAATGCAGTTCTCTGAGCCGTGGGACCTGTTTCAATGTTAACAATTGTACTAGATGACCTATCTTGGTGTAATAATAAAAGATGGAGGGGACGTTTGAGCGATTCCAGTGCAAAAGACCCCATGAAAAACGGTTGAAAACTGAGGGAGATACGAGTGGTGGCCCATCCCAGCGCGAAGTGTGTGCGTGGGAAACAGTCTCCACGGCCTCATACAGAATGTTTGACGATATGTACCAATAATACAAAATATAGAGGACGCTAATAGAAGCTCATTAAAAAAACCCGACGAAAAACGAATGAGATTTGACAGAGATATGCATGTACATGTCTTTTGTGTGTGAAAAAATGTGAAAATCCGATCTACTGCCTCATAGACCCTCATTCGCGATTGACGCCAATAATATAAGATAATAAGGGCGTTGTTACAGGTATGTAAGAAAAAAGACGGTGAAAAACGAATGATAATTGACAGAGATACGAATGTATATGCTTTTTTTTGTGAAAAATTGTGAAAAACCATCCCACTGCCTCATGAACGCTCATTCGCGACTTGCACCAATAATAGCAAATGACCAAAGAATTAGTTCGGGCCCATTACAAGAAACCCGACGAAAAACGAATCAAAATTGACAGAGATACTGATCTACATAGTTTATTTGTGGAAAGATCGTGCTACTTCCTCATACACGCTGATTCACGACATGCACTAACAATACCAAATGTAGAGAAAGTTAATCCGAGCCCATTAAAAAAAACCCGACGGAAAACGGTCAAGAACTGAGGGAGATACCAATCCAGTGTCAGCTCCGCGGCTGATCTGTGCGTGGGAAACGGTCCCCAGCACCCTACAAATGTTTCAAAAATATATAAAAATACCAGGTACTTGCGCTAATACTATATAAAATGGTTCGCAAAATTTCAGGACATTCAGCCCAGTATCAAGCGAGATATAATAAATTATGTGATTAATTTTCACTTGGCACCCTCAAAATCGCATAATATCGAGTTGAGGTAATAATACAAATTGTAGAGGACATTAATGCGCGCCCGTTGAAAGAAACCCGAAGAGAAACGAATAAGAACTGACAGAGATACGACTACAGTGTCACCTCTGCGCATGATTTGTGCGTGGGAAAACGGTTCCCAGCGCCTCACAGATGTCTTAAAAATATAGAAAAATGCCGAGTACTTGCGTCGATACCATATGGGATAGTTCGCAAAATTTCAAGACATTTAGTCCAGTATCAAGCGAGATATATGGCATTTGTCCACTTTGCTACCTTTTCAATTCAATGGAACAAGTCATGTGACTTTGATCGGTGATCGGATCAACATCTCTCTCTCTCCCTCTCCCTCACACACTCTCTGGGCTCTCTGCTAACTGTAGCACTCAATCTTGCGCTTGGGATATCCCCAATATTGAGCAACTCAACACTCTGTTGCCACTTCTGGGGGAAATCTTGCAAAATCTTGCAAAACTGCGATCACAATGTGAGATTCCCTCTTAAACTCAATCATCAACTGTGTTTCATGCCCAAACTTTAGGGCTGATGAAAGACAATCACGGCCTGAAGTACGAATACAATGAACACCAAGCCCTGAAACTTTTCGACGTACACACCGCTCAGAAAACCGTGATGAACGCCGCCTCCATTCTCCAACAGGACGGCGCGCTCCTGCTCCTCCCCAGCAGCCCCTTCAGCCACTGCCACATGATCGGTGGGCACAGGAGTTAGACCGCATAAATCAGGGAGATGCTGCAGCTCTTGAACGCTTGCAAATATACAATCAATTGCCCCCTCATCCACAACGCAATGCATGTGGAAGGCCCCGTGGAAGGCCCCGTGGTCGAGCAGGCCATGTTCGTAGCCAATCTTTGCCAAGCCAAGGGGGGCATGGACCACAACAGGGTCCTAGAGGTGGTATCGCAAGCTGTGCCCAATCACTTGGCCGCCGCTTCCCCTCTCCTCCACCAGCACCACGTGCACGTGGTCACAATCTCCCTCCTTCCCCACTTCGTCACCCAGTACCCCTTCATCCAGATCATCAGATCGTCCAGCAGTATTGGCTCCCATATCAAGAGGGTCCAAATATACATACTGCATCAGACAATCTCGGTGGAATGAATGTTCGTTGCCCCCAATGTGGCGCTTTGCACTGGGAGAGGGAGAAACTTGCAAATTCACGAGTCAATCACCCACATTTTGGGTCTTGCTGTCTGCAAGGAAAAGTTCAACTCCCTCACCCACGTCCCCCACCTCCACTGCTCCAACGTCTCCTCACTGTGCACTCTCACTCTGCAAATGAATCGGAAGCATTCAAGACCAAAGCCCAAGAGTTTCGAACAAACATTCGTCGCTATAATGCTGCACTTGCATTTGTCTCATGTGGGATGAAAGTCGAGGATGGTTTTGTGAATCGCATGAACCAGCGAATCCCAGGTGCTGGGCCATACACGTTTCAAGTCCATGGGACGTTGTACCATCGCATCGGCTCACTGCTGCCACAACAAGGGGAACAACCAAGATATGCTCAACTCTACATCTATGATCCCCAGGACGATGCAGCAAGACGCCAGATGAACCAGCTCCGTGTGGATCAGAATGCAGACCAAGACCCACAGCTCATGCTTGACCTGCATGATCTCATGGTGGAGCATAACCCTTGGGTGCAAGTATATAGGTGAGTCATGCAGTAAGCTCTTATCCAAAGAAAACAGTGCACTTATATATTGTAAAACAGAACTGGGCATGAACGAATGCGCGATACCCCTCTTGATCGGCGTGACCTCCCTCTACGCATCCATGTTGACATCCAGCAAGATCAACGGCGCTATAATGCTCCTGTCGTGGATGAGATTGCAGCCATCATTCCTGGAGATGGTACAGATGCTGACAACACCCGTGACATCATTTTACATCGAGTTGGTGGCCCACTTCAGCGCATTTCTGAGACTCATCCTGCCTATACTCCCCTCCACTATGTCCTTCTTTTTCCATATGGAGAGTGTGGTTGGCATGTTGGAATCCCTTTCCACAATGCCCAAGCTGCTGATGAGGGTGAAGGTCAAGATGATGAGCGCAACAATGATGAGGATGAGGGACCAGGCATCGCTGTGGTGCAGAGGAAGGTCACTAAAGTCTCTCACACTCGATTCCACGCCTATCGCCTGTTCAAGCGTGAGATCCAAAATCAGAACGGTCAGTGGGTCTCAGACTCAAGCCTTCTTTTGCATGGTGGTATGTAATTCTAAACTATATATATATGATCACTTCACTCACATGTTATTGTAGGCCGCTTATTCCTACAGTATTTGGTCGATCACTGGGCTGCAAATGAGCAGATGCGACTCAACTGGATCAGGGAAAACCAGAGGACCATTCGTGCAGAATGCTACCAAGGTCTCATCGATGCTGTTCGCAATAATAATGACCCTGCTCAGGTCGGTCATCGAATCATCCTCCCTTCCTCCCATCCTGGCAGCGTTCGCAACATGCTCCAGCTCTTCCAAGATTCCATGGCCATCACCCGCTTCTTTGGCTTTGCATCATACTTTGTCACAGTCACAGCCAATCCCCAGTGGCCAGAGGTTCAAGCCGCTCTCGAACCTGGCCAGAAAGCTTCTGACAGACCTGACATCGTTTGTCGAGTCTTCTATCAGAAGCTACGTGCATTCCTCAAAAATCTTGACAAAGATCCTCTCTTTGGCAAGACAATTGCACGTATCCATGTCATCGAGTTCCAGAAGCGTGGCCTTCCCCATGCTCATATCCTCATTTGGGTCCAAAATGAGCATCAGCCAAGGGATGGTAATGACATCGATGCCGTTATTAGGGCTGAAATCCCTGATCCACAGACAGAGCCTGCCTTATATGCATTGGTCGTCCAGTGCATGGTCCATGTCTGTGATCGCAACCGGTGCCTTGATGATGGTGGACATTGTGAGAAAGGTTTTCCCAAACCCTTTCAAGATTCTACAACCTTGGATGAAGGTGGTTATCCATGCTATCGCCGTCGGGATGATGGGAAGATAGTCGAGAAGGCTGGCAAACAGCTGACCAACAGGCATGTCGTCCCCTACAACCCCCATCTCTTGCTCCGTTTGGGATGCCATGTAAACGTAGA